CCTATCCGTTGGGAGACACTGTTGTGATCATAGAATACTATAATACACAATAGAATGGCTGTCAACCTTATTTTTTACGAGGATAGGCGTCGCCGGGAGCACACATACATAAGCAATTACGTCATATTATGACTACTACAAACCCGATTCGCTGTGTTGATAGACAGATTTTAATACATGCAATGCAATTTGGCATTTTCTAAATAATTTGCACGCGAAATTTGCAAACGATTGTTACGTCAAAACACATCTCGTGTTTTGACATTTATACGTGTGAATTGACGTGTTAGTGGCATTTTAGTAGCTACACGGGCTCCGCCCACTCCCCCGTTCTATTATTATTATACACTCTTGTGTTTAATTTTTGAGGTATACGCTACGGGATGTGAAGTAATCTCTCCAATGAAATATATGGCATTCGATAAATCTACTTAAAAGGCAAATCATTTCTGTCTATAAAATGTCACATGAATATGAGATCTGATTGTTGCATCCTTATCTAACGCCCAAGCGCTGTCGCCGCCACCCTCCTTCCTTATTACATGAGACGTGATAAATAAGGGCGTTTCACACTTATAACAAATTTAAATACATGGATTACACAGTTAACAGGTTTAAATTGTCTTAAAGATCGATTTGTTCTCACGCAACATGTCGCTGTTATCAGTACACTCGTGCAGCGAGGTTAATTAAATAGTTGAGTAAGAGAAAGATAGCACTGACGCCTATTTATAGAGGCCATCTTATCGACCTAAGACATCTGATAGCAAATCTAACATTCGGAATCGGTCACTCCATTTGTTATTACGTTAATGTCTGAATTTACTTAATTGTTTACTGTTTCAGCTCTTGTATAATGTTGATGTAAGGACAATAAATATGACTAGCCACTATATTCTATAGAAAAATGCCGAAACAATGTCGAATAGTTTTACAGTTTTCGGGACTTTTTATATTGGTTTTTTTATAGGATAAGGATAACACCGAGCACACAGTCCACCCGATGGTAAGTGGTTACTGTGGCCCATAGACACCTACATCTATCCTCGATTACGAATAAATGTTATAAGTGAGGACTAAGATGGAATGAATGCCTCGGTTCCAGTAAAAAGGGTCTCCGGTTCTCTACACTCACCATACGAAACAGCAGCGTTGAGTTGCTATTTTATGTATTCTGTGAGAGCGTGGTCCTTCCCCGGCCGAGCCGACACATTCCTGCTACAACTATACTATTTATATAGCTTTAGCATTGCTCTAACACGCATGTCTAAAAGGAAATTAAGGAAATACTAGCGTGAAGTTCATCACCAGTAGTAAAATTTTATAACTTCAATAGATGGCACCACATTTTTGGCCATTTTTGTCGTCAGGCCAAAATGAAAGCCAATACTGTTACAAAATTTGAGTCTTCTGACTTAGTCCCCAAGGCTGATAATGCATTTGTGAGTTTCCTTGTTAGGAGCAAGTCACAGATGTTCACTCCTTACGTTGCTCTCTATCAGTTCGGGATGTTTCATCACAATCGGTTATTTTGATATTACAAGCATATACTTAAATTTTATTTATATGTATATTTTATATTTAAAAGGTGCCACTTTTAAATAGCAGTATAATACTGTCGACTTTACAATTGGTCGCAACACACGGTCAGTTCAACTGATCATTCCAACTGATCAGTTCAAACTAGGAATGTTGATATTTTGTAAAATATCGGATTTTCGATATATCGATAATTATAAATATATCATAATATATTTATATATGATATTGCTGCAACGCTTCTTATTTCTATAATGGTTGATTGGGATAGGCGGCCCTATGGCATTAAGTCCACATATGTAGGGGAGACCGGGGATGGTTGACCAATTTTCAGTAAAGACGCTTGTGTTTTCATTGTTTTAGTGTATATTATCGTAAAACCTACATTTGATAGGTAACGATAAGGTAAAAAGCAACTATTCAGCCTTTGAAAAAATAACAAAAAGCTTGCCATTAATTATGATGTAGTGCACAAGCTTCATTTTGTAGAACACGGAATAGTCAACCCCATGCCCGGGGTTGGTCGACTTTTCACCAGGGGTAAGTTGACCTATGAGATAATTAGTGCACATTATAGGAATAAATAAAAAGAGTCGTGGTAGTTCAGACGGTTAACGTTCGCTGTAAATATAATAGAACGCAAAAAATTTGATGAAAAAAAGTTGACTTTATTCCATGTTAAGTATACCCAGACTACTGTGGGTAGGTTGACTAGGTGGTCAATTAGCCCCGAAATAAGTTAGTCTACCAGCCCCGGGTCGATTTTTAATTTTCAACCACATGGTATAGTCAGTCACACAACCTAAATTATAACCAGAATTATACCTAAGAAAAAGATTAACAATCAAACTTTTATTTTAATTGACTTGAAAGTAAATAACAACGAGTATATATATATATATAATATATTTGAAGCAAATAATTACGCAATGATTTGTTTTTCGGTAATATGCTCCTTTTCCCGACTCGGACAAGTTAGATTAGAATGGGATGGAAATGGAGTGTAGAAGTAAGGAGTACAGACTGTATATTAAAAAGTGTCCATAGAAAACAATTAAATAAGGGTGGCGCCACTATAGCTACGGGCTAAATTTTAAAGAATGTTCCGAAAAATATAAGTGGGATAGACGACTTTTTCGAAGTTATATTTACTAAATAAAATTATTTTAGATTTTAGAGCTACTGAGCAGTTTAGCAGCACACTTTAAACCGTCTACAACAGCTAAGTTCATTTCATCCCAGCAGCTACTCCAGCGCTGTTGTGGAGAGTTTTTGAGCTGTTATTTACTGCTTACAGATGGCCACTTTTTCAACTATTCTACTATGGGAATTGGTACTCCTTACTTCTACATAGGGATGGGTCTATTCGCTCGCTCACTCGACCCCGCCATCCCCTTCCTGATTATTTTTTTATAAGTCACACAGAAGTAGGAGCTTCGCTAGCGGGGCTCCTCCGTCGACCGGCCTTCCATTGACTACGCCACGTCGAGTGGCGTGGGGCTTCCCTCCCCCAGCTCTCTCCCCCCATAAATCAGGTTAATGTTGTCAAAAACATTACGAAACATGACATCGATTTATAAAAATTTATTAAAAAAAAACTAAGCACGTCCGGCAGGGAAGGGTGACTCAACAACTCCCCGCCTCCCCTCCATAATTCCCCACCCCCTAATTCAGGTGACCTTGTCAAATCTTACCCGATATTATTTTGTTCTCTTTTGTTCTTTAAAGTCGGTCTTAACTTTTATTAAATAAAAGATGCCCATTTTTCACCTACAATGTATATAAATGAAATAAATCTTAAAATTAAGCTAATTGGATTGTAAATTAATTACGCTTATCAAAACTTTAAAAGAAACGCAGGAAAAAAAATAAATTTTTAATATTTCTTTAAGCTTATTCTACGTCAAGCGTAAAGGTATAAGCTTATTTTGAACGCATCTCAACTACCCTTTTTAGGACGTTCCATTTTACACTTGTTACTTTACTTTACTCAACTTTGTTTCTGAGTTTTATACATTATTTTAGCTTTCATTTAATTAGTAAGCATTTTTATTAGTTTTTGTATAGTACAGATTATTTAAAAACAATAAAATAATTTCTTGAGTACCTATTTGGTAACACCATACCTAACCTAAAAAGTGACTTTAATATTTTTTGGGCTTCGTAGCGTTTAAATCGTAAAAAAGGCTATTTGACATTATTTTCTAAACTTACATGTAGTTTTTCTACTATACCTTACAACTATACATAAACTTTCATTATCAGGTTTTTATATGTATGGAAAGTGGGCATGATTCTTTAAAAGATTGATTTTTTATCTACAAGTGTAGTTGCTAACGACATTAAAGTTTTTCATTTAAACAAAGAAAAATCAAGACACTAAAAATATAATTCTTGTAAAAATTAAGCCTTAATAGTTGCTCGTGGTCCGAATTATAGGAGGGTATATCAAATCATTTATTGTCATTACATCAATTTACTGTAGATACGTGAGTGCAAAACGTAATCTAGCGCTAAGAGTCTTGATGTGCTCATTTCTGCTTATTGCTGATTTTGCTCAACTGCTAGATGATAGGATAAACTTTCTATTCGAGTAATTTAGTCAATAAGTAAAATGTGGATACACGACGGGAAAGTTTGTAAAATTGAAGTCAGGTCAAAGAAATTGAAATAAAACTATTATTTATTACGATGTATTCTGTATTAAGTTTTATTTAATTATGCCTAAATTACACACGTTTGATGACCAGTTTATATGTTAGAGCACAAATAACTGTGCTCTAACATATAAACTGGTACAACCTGTAGCCACTTTTTAAGCACTACCAACAGGTATAACTGCAGGTTCAAGCCGTACCCAGATCTAACAATTCGTGTTTAATTTGGTAAATAATTCCAGAAATATAAATTGTATGTTTTCCATGAATTGCGACTAGATCAAAGCTTACTTAGGTAATCAATTATTTTCCGTTTAATATTGACGTAATTTAATGTAGACAGAGAGATAAAGAGAGAGAGAGAGAGAGAGAGAGAGAGAGAGAGGGAGAGAGAGAGGGAGAGAGAGAGAAAAGTAGTGGCCTAAGAGCAATTACATACATCTAGTAATTACTCTGAGGTAGTGCCGTATGTATTAATACGTTGATTTATGAGGTCAGTCAAAAGTTCTTTCGTGACGAGCGTGCGTCGGGGTAAGGTGTTATGCGTGCCTGATAAACGCTCTTGTGTCTTGAGTGGTAGCTTCACCATACACTCGGAACGCCCTACCAAGCTAAACACTTGTCACTCGGCTTCTACACTGACACTACACAATAAGTCGCTACGCCGGACTTGTTGGGCATACATTATTATACAGTGTGTGTAATTGGCACACCCATATAGTCTATGGGACAGCCCACGGCACATTCGTAGTTGTGTTTCTAAACTTACAAGCAATGTTCTTATGTTGTGTATTCTTGTTACAGAATGCCAATTCGGAAAGCAAGCGAAGGAGCTCGGCTCCACATGGTTTGCGGACCTCGGCCCGCCTTTCGGGGTAATGTACTGCATCAAATGTGAGTGTATTTCGGTGAGTATGAGTCAATACTACTACCATTTATTATTAACACGGTAAAAAAGACAAGTGTAATACAAAAACCTGTTTTATTACAAATGCAGTTGGTTACAAAAAGTTCATTAATACAGAAAACTTCGCTAACGCTTCCCCACAATGTGAATTTTTTCGTTATCAAATAATATGTTTCTATGCCAATGATTTTTTCGAGCTAACTATCATATTCATGTAACATCAAAATGGCGCAAAAAAATCTAAAGGTTTCCAATAGACAGTGATAGACACTATTTACTCGAAACCAGGCATTCTATTTTGGTCCTCAGGGATGATAACGGATCTGTATTTTTTATAGATGTATATGGGCTACACGTTACAGTATCCACTTACCATCGGGTGGACTGACCCTTATTCATAAAAAAAAACCCCTTACGCAAGACTTAAAATACGCAGGTCAGTGACGGGCAGATTTTTCGTTTTATTGTATTATGGATAAATTTGATAAATCTAATCTAATCAATTAATTGTAAGTAAGGAAGCAGCTATACAGATATAGGTAGCTAAGAATTACGTTTCTGGTTGTTAAGGTGCAGAAAAAGCGTCGTGTAGTGGCTAAGGTTCACTGCAGAAACATCAAAAACGAATGCCCGGAGCCTTCGTGCGACACTCCTGTACTGCTGCCGGGCAGATGCTGCAAAACTTGCCCAGGAGACGTTGATTGTAAGTGAATATTAATGAAATACACTATCTTGTTGCAGTAAATTTACAGAAATGCTTTAAAAAGATTTAAAAGATATTCCAGCGTCATAATTTGCCTAGTTATTATTAATATTTTGTCCATTTCCAACCTTTAAAAGTAAGCGGTAAGGTGATAACATTAAGCAAAACATTTAATTCCTTCATCCACTTTCCATCTACCGTATTATCAGATTATAGTTGGGTGGTGCCGTACATTCGAGTAAAACGGTTTTCTTCGTTCGTAATGCATTATTTTGACATTCTTGATTTGTTGTAGCTCAGTGGCTAAGTGCTCGGTGTAAATTTCACAGTACGCGGGCAACCCGGGTACGATCCCAGTCGGTACCAATAAAACTTCAATTTAACCAACAAATTCACCAATATGCTCTTTGGTGAAGGAAAACATCGTGAGGAAATGTGCATGTCTGAGAAATAAGCAAAAAGATATTTCGAAGACATGTGAAGTTCGCCAATACATATTGGGACAGCCTGGCGGATATTTTCTTACCGGGAAACCCTTTTAGAGGAGGCCTGCATGGACCTATATAGGCTGTAACTTTAACTTTCTTGATTCGCTGCTGGATAAAGGATTTGAAATCATGCGTACATTGGATATAATGTAATCTAAAATATTGTAGTGGTGACGTATGAGAGACCACTGCCTTGTATAATCTCGTGTGTTTTGTAACAGGCGACAAAGGGAAACTGAAATAGAGATGTTGCGTAGCACCTTCCATATAACAACTCAATATTAATGAAAAGAAACAGGCCAATTTAGAATCGGGCCTCACTATATTAGGTCTCTCCGTACATATTGTGACCAATTAACTTATAAATAACTAGTAGTTCTTAGATGCCTTAAGCGCGAAGCGCATAGGTATGTTCTACTACTAGTGCCTAAAAATCAAGAATCCAACGTTTTGTTGCAAGCAATCGTTAATAGTGTAATAAACCACCAATTTTTGGGAGAGTGGGCAAACGAGCATGCGGCTTACCTGATGGCTATTGACTACATGGACAACTGCAACATCAGGGGAATTGTAAATGCGTTGCGGCCTTTTAAAAAAGAGTAGGCTCTTACCTTGAAGGTCCCTAAGTCGTATCGGTCCGGAAAAATCCCTCGTGGCAGTCGATTTCATAAGGAAGTTGTGCGCGGGAGAAGACCTTCTTATAAACCGCACAGTGGTGGACCTTCAATCATCCAGGTGGAATGGATGGTATCGCGAGTTTTGTTGCGATGTGCAATGGTGAAACTGAGCGGCTGAAGTTAGTCCGAACAATTTCTCAGAGCACTCGCCGTGGTAGAAGCGATAAAATACGCAAAGGGATCCAACATCTCTTCGCAGTGCCAGTGAGTAAAGCCGATCAGAAAGAGCTCGGTCACCGACGATTCAAGCCACTTTGCGCTGGATCAAATGGAAGGAGTTGGTACTGGGGAGCTTAAGTTCAGACATGGGAACAGTAATCCATGTGAGGCTGAACCTACGCCTTGTAAAGTTGCAAGCAGTGTGCTGGCATGAAATATTGTCGCGCTCTGTTGAGCACGCAAAGCTTTTTAGAGGCACATTTGGCCTTCTCTTTCAAGTGACCGCGAAACCGCACGTCACTCGATATGTTGACGCCGAGGATTCCGATACTGGTTGAGGTAACGAGGGGTGTGCCCTGAAATTGAGGACATACAACAAAGAAGTTCTTTTTAGCGGTAAACTCACAATCTTGTGTCTTCTCAGATGGATTACTAGGCAAAAGGAGTCCCACCAATTAGTAAAAAGTTAAGTAAATTATGTAGTTAGTTGTATTTCTATTACTCATCTCAAATAAGCTGAAATAATAATAATAATAAACTTTATTAGCATAATTACATTCCTTTCCTTTACAATAAGCTTTTTTACAATATGTTTAAAATCAGCTATGTACAAATTTGTTTTAAGTTGCTTACTTCGGTTACCGCCGGCTGTACTAGGCCGAGCCTGTATCACAGACGGCAGTTCCTTCCTCCATGACACAAAATATATTATATCACTAAATTTAACTTATATTCACCAAAGACAAAACACAACAACGACAACAAAAGTTAGTTTTATACTAAAGTTAACATTAATATTCAATTATTATTTTTTTTTTTGTAAGTACCGCCATAAAAGTTAACATTTTTAGGAAAGGTAAGGTTAGACCACTTAATACAATGAACTTTAGCTAAATTATTACAAATATTATTAATGTTATATAAATTTTTAATACAGTACTTTTAAACAATGTTATGAGTTTTATGTGGTCAATTTTACTACATTGTTTATTTATTCGTAGGTATTGATTGAATATTATTATATTGGTCTATTAGCACTTGTGACTTTATATTAAATTTATTTGGTGTGGGGGGTGTGTGTGTGTGTGTGTGTGTGTGTGTGTGTGTGTGTGTGTGTGTGTGTGTGTGTGTATGTGTGTGTGTGATGGATACTCGTATGTAAGTGCGTGTGTAAGTTAGTTAATAAATGTGTGAGTCACTTATGATTTGTTTACTTAACTATTGCAAATAATTTTTCTGTATCATCATAAGTTTGTTTTTTTAACCACTTTACTATAATATTTTTACATTGGTAAGTGTTATGCGGGTATATGTTGAGAATTTTATTTAATTTATTGTAAAGCATAGGACCCAAATAACAGTTATAATTATGAATGAAAAATGTTCTGTACCGGTATATTTTACATACTTTGTGGTTCAGTCTATTTATTGTGAGGCTATGGTCAATTCAAGTTTCAGATGTTGATCGATTACTATATTCCTTATGAATAGCTGCTTGACAGAAAGGACATCGCATTCAGAATATAAATCTACTGTGGGATAGCTAAAAGGTTTAGATGTCATGACTTTTAATATCGCTCGTTGGGCTCTTTCTAGATTTAGCAGATAAGTCTTACAAGCTCCACCCCATGATGTGATACAGTACGTTATTATTGACTCAACTAAAGCGCTATAAACCATTTTTAATGTAGTAGCATCAGTCACGTATCGTAGTTTTTTGAAGACGATGATTAACTTTCTTGTTTTTTCTGTTATATATTTTATATGTGGATTCCAAGTAAGATTTTCATCTAATAAAACTCCAAGATAACATGTGATTTTAGTTCTGTAAGTATATTACATTGACAAGAATGCCTTTTTAGACAGGAATGCATTTTAATTTCGAAAGTTTGTTCAGTAGGTAGTGTCCGCTGAATGATTGTAAATAGCATATAATTAGTTTTAGAAATATTAAGTGTAAGCATGTTTTTATTGAGCCAATTGCTAATGCGACAAAGTCCAAGTTCAGTATTAGTTTTGACCTCAGTCCAAGATTTACCATGAAAAATTATTGAGGTGTCGTCTGCAAAAGTAAATAATTTACCATTTGTTATTTTTAATTCACAAAGATCATTTATCATCATCATCATCATTACAGCCCTTTACAAGTCCACTGCTGAACATAGGCCTCCCCCAAGGTATGCCACAAAGCACGGTCTTGAGCCACCTGCATCCATCGACTTTCTGCATGTCTTACCAGGTCGTCACTCCATCTAGTGGGGGGTCGCCCCACCCTTCGTCTACCGGTACGAAGCTGCCACTCGAGAACCTTTTTTCCCCAACGGTTGTAGGTTCTTCGAGCTATATGGCCGGGCCATTGCCACTTCCCAATCCGGGCTATGTCGGTCACTCTGGACTGCGGATCCTTTTTTAGCAAAAAAAACCCCGAACACCCCCCCACGGGCCGTCCTCATACGGCCAGTAGTGAAGGACCACGTCTCAGTTCCATATGTCATCACTGGCAACACGCACTGGTTGTACAACTTAGTTTTCAGGTTTTGAGGTATACCTGACGAGAAGATGTGTCGTAATTTCCCGAACGCTGGCCAGCCGAGTTGAATCCGTCGATTGACCTCTCAGTCGAAATTGGACTTACCTACCCGGACTATTAGTCTCAGCTAAACGTACTCGTCAACAACTTCGAGCTCAGTGCTCCCAACAACTACTGGCATAGGTATGACATGGACATTAAACATGATCTTTGTTTTGTCCATGTTCATCTTAAGGCCTATCCGTTGGGAGGCACAATTGAGGTCATTGAGCATAGTGCTTAAGTCCTCCAGCGATTCTGCCATAAGGACTATATCGTCGGCAAAACGAAGGTGAGTGATGTATTCGCCATTGATGTTAATACCGTATCCTTTCCAGTCCAGTAGCTTGAAAACATCTTCAAATGCAGCGGTGAAGAGTTTCGGGGAAATAACGTCACCCTGTCTTACACCTCTCTGCAGTTGGATAGGTTTCGTACTCTGGTTCTGTACTCGGATAGCCATCGTAGCCCTACTGTACAAACACTTCAGCACTTCGATATACCGATAGTCAACTTGGCACCGCTGAAAAGACTGTAGCACCGCCCAAATTTCAACGGAATCAAAGGCTTTCTCATAGTCCACATACGCCAGGCAAAGTGGCAGATTGTACTCTTCGGACTTCTGTACAATTTGCAGAAGGGTATGTATGTGGTCTATGGTACTAAAGCCTTTTCGGAAACCGGCTTGTTCGGGAGGCTGGAAGTCATCGAGTCTGCGTGCGAGACGATTCGTAATGACTCTCGAAAACAGCACGTAGACGCGGCTCAGAAGGGATATCGGTCTGTAGTTCTTCAAGAGGGCGTTGTCACCTTTCTTGAAGAACAAGACCTCCGCACTTCTGCTCCACGCCTCCGGAGTAGTGCCACCATGGATAACGGAATTAAAGAGCCTCTGAAGGACTTCAAGATCATTTATATAAATTAAAATTAACGTGGGACCAAGTACACTCCCTTGTGGAACACCAAATGTGACAGGAGAGTAACCACTGAATTTCCCGTCAATTGTTACTTTCTGGGTTCTTCTTATTCGACAAATAACTTTTAAATAAGTCCAGTACTTTTCCTCTTATGCCAATTTTTTCCATTTTATTGATTAATAGCGGAACA